AAAGTTGGCAAAATGAAGCACACAGCTTAACCTGTCTAACTGCTTAAATAGCCCTGATTACTTAAATAAAATGCTATTTAAACTAAATACCATAAAGCTTGTAACTCTGCCTGCTGGCAGGCTACAAAGGACTCGATCTGCTTCGCTCCTCCCCTCCACAGAAGGAGGTTTCATCAAGACAAGTTAATATGCAAGAAGTTTGGAGAGAAAACACAAACATCAAATAATATTACTGGCTGTCATCAAAGCTGTTTGTTCACGCGTGGTTTTCAGCACTATGCTAAAACTCCCACACGGAGAGCCAAAGGCACGGACAGTAAGAGCAAGGGCTCTGCTCGAGGACTGCCCAGCTCCGGCTCCCGCAGAGCCTTACCACTGGAATCCACCGATGGGCTCTGTAAACCTGTGACGGATCAGGAATGTTGCAACAGCTTCAGCAACCTGAGGAAAGGGGGGAAAAAAAAAATAAAAATTGGTCAGAATGTAAAGGGACATGAAGATAACAAGAAACACTGCTGAATCACACTGGCTGCTTTAAAACTAAGAGCTCTGTATAACTGGTTTATACATAAAAGAAGGAACGACATGCTTCCACCTTTACTCTGGCACTGACCACACAATCAAGAACTGACAGAACTTTTTCACTGCCTCTTTCAGAAATTCTTCAAACGATGCCTACGTTTACCAGGTAAAAAAGGTCTGGTGAAATCACAGTGGAAGTCACACTGGCTGCTTTAAAACTAAGAGCTCTGTATAACTGGTTTATACATAAAAGAAGGAACGACATGCTTCCACCTTTACTCTGGCACTGACCACACAATCAAGAACTGACAGAACTTTTTCACTGCCTCTTTCAGAAATTCTTCAAACGATGCCTACGTTTACCAGGTAAAAAAGGTCTGGTGAAATCACAGTGGAAGTTATTCCTATAAAGAGTAAATCAAGACACTGACCTGACACCAATAATATCGCTTAGCATTTATATTAAAAAGAAGGTAAGAACTCAGTATGTTTAGGTAAAAATCCCTATTTCAGATTGGTAAAGCAAACCACAGAAAGGCTGAGTTTTTACACTCATGGCTTTAAAAGCAGACATGTTTCCAACCACAGGCTCCACCCGCTGGACCCCAATTCTGCTTCTAGCTGGTCACTAAGTTCAGCAGCACCCAGAAGCAGCACTGCTCTGTCAGTCTGTAAGCTGTTTCAGTACCATTTGTTTTGTATTTGGAAAATGTGAGCCACCCAACTCAGAAAAAAACAGAGACCAACCCCCAAAGATGCAGCTTAGCACAAGGGAGAGCGGAGAACTTCACGAGGAAAGGCAGGGAGGACAAACCCACGCTCCACATGGTAAGAGTTAGTTATATCACCACTAGTCTGAGAGTTAAATCTGTAACCTAGCCAAGCCCTGTGTCATGGAACATCTTAGGCAGGGCTTTCCAGCCAGCTTAAAAATCCAAGCTGTTTTGCAAATAGGCAGTTAAGATGTCCTGCCAAAAACCACCCCTGAAGTATCATCTCTGCTCACAGAAAACAAAGCACCTCTTTTGCATTTAAACTGTAAAGACCACGACTTACCTCGCTTCAACCCTACAGTGGGGCTCACCTTGTCTGGAGCATCTTCATGGACTGCATGGCCACACTGCGGGAGGACCTGCATCTGAAACTTCCCTGTGGAGCAAGAGAGGCATCACTGAGGCTGCTTTTTTAAGCGGTCCTGATTCCTAACAGCAATGATTTAGGCAAGCAGTTCTTGGCGTACACAGGAAACATCAGACGCTACACCCTTAAAAGCACTGTGAATTTATGAACTCTTCTAAAAAGGATCTCAAACTCTTTACCAACAAACCTCACTAAATCTCACTATATGCATCTGGCAAAGAGGGACCAGGGAAGGCACAGAAGTTTAGGGCAAATGGTTCGACACACACTGCAAACTGTTCCCAGAGAAAGCAAGAACTGGCTGCTTAATTCATCTTCCCCAGGTGTAACTAGAGCAGGTTCCCAGGAATTAAAACAAAGCTAGGCTTTGACAACTGGGGGAAGTCTCGCGCTCACTAGCCCTTGTCCTTATGGGTGACTTTAACCTGCCTGATGTCTGTTGGAAGTATAACATGGCAGTCAGGAAACAGTCTAGGCGGTTCCTGCAGAGTGTGGAGAAAAACTTCCTATCACAACTGGTCAGTGAACC